AATGTGGGATATTCAGAAATGAGACGTGAGAAGCTCCAAATTATAAACAGGAAATGAAAGGAAGACAAAATATGCCAAAAAAGCATACAAATATTAGAAAGGAAAGAAGAAAAAGAGGAAAAATTGGTAGAGTTAATAACAATGCAGTAATAAAAAAGGCTTTTAGAAGTGGGAAAGTGAAAGAATAGAAAATATTGATATTCTGTATTTATAGTGCATGCCCTCAGTAATTGCAATGTTTGTTTGGAGCACCTGAAGGAGAGAGAAGCTGGAGAGAAATGATTTCCAGGGTTCTGGAGGGGCAGGACACAAGGGATGGCCTCTCCCTGCCAGGGACAGGGTGAGGTGGGATTTTGGGATGGAATCATCCCTGGGAGGGGTGAAGAGGCCCTGGAATGGATTCCCAGAGCAGCCCCTGCATCCCTGGCAGTGCCCAAGGCCAGGCTGGACAGGGCTGGGAGCAGCCTGGGACAGTGGGAGGTGTCCCTGCCATGGCAGGGGTGGCACTGGATCTTCAAAATACAAATATAAATATACATATAACTATAAATACACATATAACTATAAATCTATATATCTAAATATACAAATAAATATAAATATATAAATATAAAATATAACTATAAAGAATTGCTGCACACAACCCAAACCACTCCAGGATTCCACGATAAACATCTTAAAAAACAGCACCAGCCTTGGAGTGTCCCACAGAACATCCTCTGGTGAGAAACATCTGAGCTCAGCTCATCCATGAGAACTTCCTGCCCTTCCTCCAGTATTTGCAAGCAGGATAATCCCCGAGCAGGACAGAAATGTGATCTATTTGTGTTTATCCTGCTGTTATGAAGCTCAGACTCCCCAGGAAAAGCTGGAGCAGCAGTGCTGAGCTCCCCACACGTTTTCCAGGCCACCAGAGGCAGCTCCAAGCAGCCCAACCTGTGGGCAGCAATATTTCTATTCCTATTTCTCTTTCTCCCTCCATACATAAACTCATCCCACTGCCATCAGCTCCACAGCCAAATGTGGTTCCTATTAAGCAGCCGTGTGTGGGCTGCAGCCCCAGAGCTGGTGTGTGGATTTTTGGGAAGCAGAGCCAGTGTTTAATTCCATTTGGCCTCTGCTGAGGACACAAGTCCTTTCAGAGTGTATTAACATCTCTTTCAACTCCTGCAGTAGGAGAAGTGCTCCCATCCCCGCTGCAAGGAATGTTTTATAGAACAGGAGCAGCAAGCTTTGATGAGGGATTTCTTTCTGTGCTGTGTTTTTGTGGCTTAAAAAGTGAAGTTATTTGGCATTTGAAGCAGAAAATGCATCATTCAGAGTTAAAAATCAGATTTTATCATTAGGTATTCTCAGCTAACACTTTGTTTTATGGCATTTAAAAGACAGGGATGCATTCTGGAGGAAATTAAAGGGAAATGGGAAAATTCCCTCGATGAGAGTGGAGGCAGATGGGAAAATTCACCCAAAGTTTCCAGCACAGTTTGCTCCCCTCTGTGAGCACTGCAGGGTTTGGGTGGGGGATTGAAGTTTTTGAGTTGTTTTGTTTTTTTTTTTTCTCAGCAACAATCCTGTCCCTAACAAGAGAGTTATTTCCATGGGCATAAATCATTCCCTGAGCAACAGATGCTGTCTGGAGCCCAAATAAGAATTTTGGGGTCCAGTAATAGAAGGGCACAGATTCCCCTTAATGCAATTCATGAGTTTGGATCTCCTTCCTCCACCCAACCAGAAATTCTGCATTAAATGTGCAGGTTCTGATCTTCCATCCTCTTGGAATAATTAACTAGAACTGACAAATAAGTGGGAAAATGATTGGTGAGAGTCTGCAAAAACCCATGTGCAGAGCAAGGGGCTTGCACAGAAATAATACACAAAGTTACACACAATAATATATAAAATATGTGTATATATAAATATATCTTGTAAGTAACTAATCTTATTTTGTTTTCATTTAGTTACTTTGATTATTTTGAATAATAAGAACTACTGATAAATTTTCTTTTCTGAGCTTCAGAAATCCTCTCTCCATTTTTTTCCAGCATGCCATGGAAAATCATCTTTTCTATTACACCATTTCTTATAACTGCAAAATTCTGAATTTGGGAATCTGTTTTTTCCAACTTGCTCGTGGAAATTGCTGTAAAATCTCCAAAGAGCTAAACCTGTATTTTCTGTTAGGCAAAGAAAATTACAACTGAGGATGTTCTTGGATTGTATTTCACCAGCAAAAGTCTCCATTTTTAGCAGGGCTGAGGTAATGAGCTATTTAATGACATAGATTGTGTTTAAATCATTCTGGTTTCTTGCCCAAAAGCTCTCCTCAGTACCACTGCCACCCCACAAGCAAATTCCTACCACAAGTGAAAATTTAGACTTCCAAAGATAAACTTTCCTCTCCTCTTGTGGTAAACCCTGTGCAGAGCATCAAGAATTTTTAATAAACACACATCTCTTCATTTTCTATACTTTCTGCATATTACACAAAATACTTTCTCTATTAAATACAGATTTGCTTGGTGTTTTTCTTATAGGAAAAAAAAAAAAAAAAAGGAATATCTTGGCACTGACAAACTGCAAGAAACTTGAAACGAAAGGAAAAACAAAATCCTTTCTATTTCCTTGGGCTCCTCTGGCTGTGACTGGCACAGGCCAGGCTGATGACATTGGATTTTTCATTTCTGGTTGAATTAAGTCATCAAAGCATCACTGGCTCAGAGCAGAAGCAAATCCCACTGTGGGGACCGGCCCTGAGGGGCTCCCATGCCAGGGCCACTGGGTTTGGGGTGATTTTCTGGGAGAACACCCCAGGGATGAAAAGCAGATGTGTGTGGACAGGAAAGGGGGTTTGGGATGGCAGGGATGGCACCATGGCACACACAGACCCTGAGCGTGGGCACAACCCCATCCTCGAGAGCTGAGTGCTCCACATTCCTCACCAGGCTGCTGAATCCAGCTCCACTCCCACTTAATTACTGCAGTGATGACACATGAGGTTATTAAGTGAAATCATCATTCCTGGACCACTCTTCTCACTGCTCCATCAAGTTCTCCTGTGTTTTCTTTGCTGGTTGCCACAGGATTCTTTGTCCTTGCTGGTAGCAGATGAACATTTCACTGCCCAAACCAGACTTCTCTGGCCAGATCCACACAGGCTCGATTTTTTCCAGAAATCCCTAGTTTTTTATGGCCTGGCTCCCAAAAGAAAACAACTCAGCAGCCAAGAGCAGGAAGGAGTGAAGTTGTTTCAGATACCTGGATCCCAAACCATGCTCATGTCACCAAAGTCAGACCCTGACTGCTGCTCATGATCCCCTGCTCTCACATCTGTGCCATTCCAGGGATCACTTCCATAATCCAGTATTTTCATGGTCAGAATGCCTCACAGAAATGACATCATCCCCAGTTTGAGCACTTGGTCACATGGACACATTCCTTCCCCATGCTCACACTGGCAAACATCTCATGTTCCTCCACCACCAGTTACAAACTGACCCATGTGATTTGTGCTCTCACATTTGAGGGATGGGAAAAGAACTGCCTGGGAATTGCTTTAACACTGGTGCAAGATCCATTTCTTAGTTTTTTCTAAAAGCTTTTAAGAAAAATCTATGTTTTAATAGCAAGATCATTGACACTGATGAGATCAGCAGACAAGAAGACTTTGGAGATCAGCATTAATTTGTATTATCATCTCTCTTAAAAATACATATTTCATGTGTTTGTAAAAGAAGCCCAAAGTTGTCTTCTTCAGGTAAATAATGAAGCAAAAATTGCCCTAATGCAGCCACCTGAGTGGGGTAGATTTGGTTTTCAATTTCCCAAAAAAATAGCCGGAAAACCGCTGGAAACAGCAGCAGATAAGAGGAACATGATTCCTGCCATCACCAAACACCATTCACATTCCCTTCCCTGGAACTGTCCCACAGCCACTTCTCCAAACAGCACCCCAAACAATCCCTGACCTCTTCCTAAGCCTTACCTGGAGTTTCAAATTGCCAATTCCATACAAAATGCACCAGGAGGACAAATTATTCCCACTCCAGATCCACCGGTGATACACAAAACGTGACTATAAAGGATCTGGTAACAACAAGACCTCCTGGTTTATTAGAATCCAGTTCAAGGATCCCTCCTGGGCCTGCCCAGACAGCCCAACAACCCCAGGCTGTGCCTGGGAACGGTGTCCAAACACTCCTGGAGCTCTGGCAGCCTCAGGGCCGTGCCCATTCCCTGACTGCAGAGCTCAGCCACCACCTGGCAGCAGAAACCTCTCCCAAAACCCTGGTTGTGCTGGTTTCCTGGAAATACAGCACAGGGAGCAGACTTGGCTGTCCTCAGTGTATTCACTAGCAAATCAGCACAGCAGAACACGATGCTCACGTCCAGATTCCTCTTTTCATTTCAAACCAGTGGCTGGGCCTTTGTTCTACATGAAACCACATTTGATTCCTTTTAAATTAACAAATATCGTGCCTTTAACACAAATGATATCAGTTCACAGCTCCATCACAGCTTAAATGATGCAAAGACTGGTGCACATGGAGCAGACAGGAATCCAACAGTGTCCTGCCATTCCTGCTGTGAACCCAGATTTTATGATCCTGACATTGCCAACTTTTCCCATCACAATCTCAGCAGTCTTTTGAAAAAAGAGACGTAAATAGGAAGTCAAAAATTACGGTTCAAGACCATGCTGGTCTGAGCACTTGAACAGTACTGAAATTTGTGTTACTAAATATTTCTGCAATATTTACTACACTCACAGCTGGCGATTGCACAGATGTCAGAATTCAGAATAAAAGACTGGGGAATTTCTGGTGAATACCCACCAAGTGAAGTAAACCAGCCTTTTAGGATTTCTTCCTGAAACCCTTAAACCTTTTTCATAAACAAAAGCCACCAGAACATCTCACCACACATCAAACCCACTCTTAAAATCTCACTTAACCCACTCATTTCAGCCTTATCCACACGTCCAACTCCTCGGTTTCACTCACAGCGAATCCCGTAGATCATGAGAGGATCCAGCTGCTTCTTGCCGTGCTTGCCCTGGCCCGAGAGGTTGGAGATGGCCTGGATCTCCCTGTGGAAGAGGTAATCCAGCAGGGTCAGGGCCATCTTCTCGGCCGTGCGGCAGTTGGTGCTGATGTGCAGCATGTCCGCGGGCGTGATGGGGCAGCGCACGCGCATCTCGGGGTTGTTCTCATCGCCCAGCCACGTCCCGTTGGGGTAATCCTCTGAAACACACATGG